GCAAATGCTACAAAGAAAACGTGAAACTATTATTACCACCAATATAGGTAACATACGAACGAGTAAAAAGCAAGGGGGGAAACAGCAGACTCCGGACTTCACCGAGTCAACGGACTCCGCTTGACTCCAGGTGACTCCAGTTGACTCCGAGAGACTCCACGGGACTAAAAGCAAGAGGGAAACAGCAGACTCCGTCGGACTCCAGTCGTGTGGAGTCTTCTAGAGTCAAATGGAATCAAATGGAGTCACGTTGAATCAGTTGAGACGGTCAAGTCTCAAGAAATGTATCTTAATTTCTTTAGATGAATCGTTTTTTCTCAGTGGTCTTGCATCAAATAGTAAGACATTTGTTGATTTGAATCATTCGTAAGTAGAAATTGACTTTTTTACTGTTGTTTATAGTCGTCTCCAACATCGATTCTGAAGCTATGTGACGGTCAATCAACAGTTTACATGAAGGGCCGAAAAAATATATCTAGAAATACAAAATTAGTTCTTTTATTCTTTTTTACAGTATTGTTTATAATAACTTGAAAATAGGAATCTTTTAAATTTGTATTAATTGAATTCCTAATTCTTATTCCATCAGATGCTGTTTTTTCCGTTGCAATTCTATTATTCTCATCATCATCATCATCATCATTATAAAACAGCATTTAATGAAATAAGAGTTAGGAATTCAATTAATACAACCTTAAAAGATTCCTATTTTCAAGTTATCATAAACAATACTGTAAAATATATGCATAAACAGACTGCTTGTTGGATGTTAACAGAGAAAAACATCGTTTGTCAAGTGATAGACTATCAAGAGTGATGGATATGAGTAAAAAAGAATAAAAGAACTGAGACTCGACCGTCTCAACTGATTCAACGTGACTTCACTTGACTCCATTTGATTCCATTTCCACTCCAGGAGACTCCACACGACTGGAGTCCGACGGAGTCTGCTGTTTCCCCCTTGGTAAAAAGTCAATAACAATACAAAAAGTTGAATACGTTTTTGTTTTCGAATAGAAAATTATCAGTCATTATCATTGTCTAGAAAGGAAATTAACGAAGTTGAATGGAATAATATTTCTATTAAAAGACGATGCAACAAACAACATGATAATCTTTCAAAAACTATGACACATTCATCGTAAGCGAATATTATTCGTGAAGATGATAAACGTACATTACATTTAAAATTGTTCCTGTATCCTGTAGCTCAGATGTACTAACTATTGATCAATCACTGGTACTTGAAGATCATTTAAAAAGCAGAGATGGTAGGTATCTTGAACAAAAACCAATTTCCCGATACCGATCTAAGTTTAGATAGTGCATCTTCTCGTCAACCATCAAGGTCTATGTCATCCATCAGTTCTGATTCTGGATTTCTATGTGAATCATCATCGTCATGTTCAGTTGAAAATATACGAGAAGATGAACAATGTAACTGGAATATGAAAAAACACAAAAAATCAATGTCAACTATTACAATTGATTCATCACATCAGACCATATTGTCCAAGAAGAAAGAAAAGAAAGAGTTAACTACAATTCCATGTAGTCGATCCAAAAAGTATCTGTTTAATACGAGAACAAATAATGAAAACATGCAGTTGCTAGCAGCATATCAAGTGGATGGACTCGATACAGAAGATATGTATTATGTCAAACGAAGTTTTCAAATGTAAGCGTATCTAATCAGTGAATCATTAAGAATCGGGAACTGTATAATTTGCTTATATATCCGTCACTTTATCTTTGAGACTTTCTTTGTGAGAACCGCTATAAAATTCTCTACAAGAAACGTATCGTGTGTTCCACTACAAAATGTGAAAATGGAACGTTGTACAAAAAATGCTGAGAAGCTCCAAAAATGGACGACTTGTTTTATTAATCTAAAAATTAATTTAGGTTGTTTTATTCTTTTGATGGAGTGTTAACATAAGAAAAGATTAGATTTAATTGACCATTTTCGGGTTCTATGTTCTATCAGAATAATACAGCTGATTATATAAGAAACTTTTTTCTTGTTTCGTTTTTGAAGTCCTCATCATTCGTCTGACATATCTAGTTTGATTTAATTTTAAAGAGAAACAACGTGTTTATTATATCTAAATGCTAAAACTTCAAAACTTTTTTCCAATATTTTCAGTACTAAAGAGTTGAATACAGGGTGATTTATAGTTTTGAATAAATTTTATTTTTGACCACTGGATATGACAAAAATAGTTTATGAATGCGTTTATACATCAATATTTAGTTATAAATCGATATAACTCTTTTTAACTATTTCGACTTTTGAAAAACACTTTTAAACTCTTCCGTAATTTTCAGTGAAAAGTTCAAAATTGCGTTGTTTTTTTAGAGAATTTTAATAAAATTTGACAGTATTTTTATGCAATTAAACTCCTGCATTCTTAATTAAAAAACAAAATTTGAGTTGACTGAGAAGTACTTTAGAAAAGTGCTCATTTTAGAGTTTTCAGTTTTTTTAGAACGCATGTTTCTTCTAGAAAACTTTTACAGCAGTTCTTCTAGTAGAAAAGATAGTCGTATGGATAAACAGAAATACAAGACAAATTAGACAGTGATGGATTCTAAATGACTTGCTCATTCATGAATTATTGTGTTACAGAAGATCGAACGTTGTTGTTATTTCTTTAGACTTGTTAAAGATAGAATAATTTCAGACAAGTTACATTGGACTGATCAGCCAGCATATGATATTAAAATTTGCAACTTTGATAATTCTGACCAAGGTATGTCTGTACATAATATCTTTTGAAATCTTGAATTGAAGCTATAATTTTCTATTTCTAGATTGTGCTCGAATTCATCCTTGGACCTATAAAGCAAATCGACAAACATCCTTCAGTTCTCTATCTTCCTCATCATCGTGCTATAATAATCATCTTCATAACTTAAAATCACGAAAAAGATTATCTTGTTATGCAAAAACATTAAAAAATGACAAGTCTAAAAATGTTTTGAAAAGACAAAAACAATCTTTCAATATTAGAGAACGAATTTTATCACCTACAAAACTAATGGATTCACATCGTACATTACGCCATGAACAACGAAGTTTTTATTCAATCATCAATCAGTCCTACAATGGACTTATTGATTTATCTAGATTAAAGGTATTTTCACTTACGTTTCTTCTTTTATAACTAAATAGCTTTGTGTTTTGCAGTTTCGAAATCACCGTCTTAATTTACTAAAGTCTTCGATACATGGTTTGGGTGTTTTTACTTCAGTCACGATACAGTTAGGTGAATTAATTATGGAATATGTAGGTGAAGTCATTCGTTCATCAATTGCTGATAAACGAGAGAAAGAGAGTGAATTGAACGGCAAAAGAAATTATATGTTTCGTGTTGATCGTGACATTATTATTGATGCATCTCGATATGGAAACATTTCAAGGTATGCTAGTCTCAATAGTTCTATCGAACAACCCACTGAAAAATTTTACCATAGCGACGATAGTTAGCGCGTTTATGCGCACCTACTTTTGAAAGAATTTGGCCATTATTTCAAACGCATCAAAACATATCTCATTTTCAACTCGAGACAAAAAAAAAATACGAGAACTGCCTCTCTCGATTATGAAAACTGTGTCTAGACATGTTTCGCAAATGAAACTGTTTTTGGATGCATCTAGTGAGTTTTTATGTCTACAATCCATTTTAATTTCTTTCGTTAGCCAGTACAGTAAAAGTAAATTCGGATTTTCGAATTAGTTTAATTTTGAGCTCAACACATATGATACTGACAATTTCCAGGTTTTGTTGGATTTTCGTGGACTTCATGGTGTTCCAAGCAAATTCGCCAAATGTTTGACATTTTTCCGAGTCTTTCTGAATCTTTTTCGATAAGCTCCAATTTCAACGATTTTCCCAGATGTTTCTTGTATCCTATCGAGCCGCCTTGGATTTTTTCTGATTTTGTTGTACTCCCGTGGACTTCACTAGTTTCTCAGAGGGTCTCTGAGTTTTTCCACATTTGTGTATGTCTGGAAGTCCCAAAAATTCCCAAAATTCGCATTTTCTCCCTTGCAGTACAGATAGTCCGGCCACACGTCTTTTCTCCTAATCGCAATGTGCAGCCCAATAGGAACATATGGTATACACCGATCGAAATTTTATCCTGATTGTGATATAACTCATGAGACCGTACTGACAAAGATGTTTTTATATCTTTTATAAGAGAAAAAATATCAGAAAAATTTCTGAGTTATATTTGGCAAGAAGAAGTGAGTATTTATAAAAGGCTTTGCAAGAAATCTGTGATATAAAATCAGTCATCAGTTCAGTACGCTCAGGCGCAATCCGATTCTTTGTGCGCGTCTGACAGTCGATAAGCGGTCACATGCGTCTTATGTTCACTCTGGGAAAAAGGGTGGATCCGAACGCGTTCAGATACTTTTTTTCGAAAAATGAAAAGAAAACACGCCGAAACGTTCGTTTCTATGGCAAAACTTTCTAGTAGAAAATGCAATACATTTTTTCTTTTCTCAGGTTTCTCAATCATAGCTGTACGGTATGTGGAAAATTATGATTGATAAACAAATGTTGGATATTATGTTTCATTTACGTTTTTCTAGCCAAATTGTTCAGCAAAAATTATTCATACGTCTGATAATAGTCAAATTGTTCTCTATGCCAATATGATTATACATCAAGGTGAAGAATTAACGTACGATTATAAATTTCCAAAAGAAACACATAAAATCAGATGTTACTGTCAAAGTTCAAAATGTCGAGGAACATTGAACTGATTACTTTTTCTCATGTATCTCTTTCTACACATATATCATTTTTTTATATCAATTTCTATTTAGGATTATGCCATTCTTACAAAAGAAAAATGTATCGTCTTTGATCATTTTATTAAGATCTAGTTTTATTGAGATTTCACAATCACTGAGATCTGGTTTCAGAAAATTGTTTAACTTTACAATATGTACAACAAAAAATGAGAAATATATATGACTTAATCATTTAAATCGATTCATTTTCCTTTCCTCGTAATCCTGTGCTTCCGAAACCGCTCGAACCCCGAACGGTTGTATCCAATTTCTAAAACAAAAATATATTTAAGAAAAGAGAAAATAAAACGATCACTTGATAACTTACATCTTCAATTAATTCTGGATATTCAATTTTTTCACAAATTAATTGAGCTATTCTGTCACCTTTACTAACTAGAAAAGAATCAATACAAAATACACACTATCAATGAAATATAATCTGTTAAACTCACTTTTAAAATCAGTGTCACTATGATTGAATAAGACCACACCAACGTTACCACGATAATCGGCATCAATCACTCCAGCTAAAAGAGTAGAAAATATGATTTTTTCTACTAAAATTTATATACACTTGACTTACCTCCTACATCAATACCATTTTTTGCCGCCAATCCTGAACGAGGTGCTAAAGTGAAAAAAAATTAAACGAAAAGTTGTTCAAAGTTGTTGAAATCATTCTGTTATAACCTACCAATTCGTCCATAACAACCAGCTGGAATAGCAATTTGAATATCAGTTTGTGCAATTACCTTATCACGTGCTGCTAAAACATAGTCGTAGGCACTAAAAACAAACGATAATGATACATACTAACAGTCTTGAAAAATATGTTCAAGCTTACCTTCTTAAATCAAAACCAGCTGCATGCGCAGAACCTTTCAATGGTGCAAAAGCACTTTCACTTAATTTTGAAAAACGTAGAACCGATTTTGTTGGTGAAGACATCATTTTCAATTAAAAATATCTGGAATAGTAATTAAAGTCACTGTTAATATCCATCAAGAAACTAGAATGTAATTTTTAAACAATTGACAATACTTCTTCAAACGAGTTCAATCTGTTAAATAAGTAATGAAGAACGTCGACAGATGCAAGGAAAAGAGTGCAACTATCGCTATATTCTGTGATTCTCAGTAGAATCAGTTTTCCCTAGCATTTGAGTGAACAGCTATATAATACCGATGCATTATAACGCCTGGACCTCAACAGATACAATGGTGCAATAACAGTTCATAAATACATCTTTTTCTATAATATCACAACAGAAACTGCGTTGCTTAACAGGATATTATGAAAAACGACAAGAAACAATAAGTTTACTAATTATCTCACAACTTTCCTTTGGGATCGCGATAGCTATCAGACATTCATTTGAACGAGTTTTTGAGTAGAGGATGTGCGTATGAAAACTACTTTATAGTTGATAAATACCGAGTCTCTGGATTTGGTCAGAAAGTTTTGCATATAATATAGTCTAATAAACTCTAAATTCTCTACAATACTTTTCATCAAATTGAACTCTGTTTACGACGATTCCAGACTGTCGACACTAGCAAAAACAGAACAGAAAAGCAACAAAAAAAATGCCTTTGAAGCCTATCGTAAACTGAGTTCAGCTTGATGAAATGTATCGTAGAGAATTTGGCGAAGTCTCGTTTTATCCAAAGATGTTTGTTTTATTAGACTATATTATTTGCAAAACTTTCTGACCAAATCCATTTACCACCTATACAGAAGTTTTCATACGCACATCCTCTACTCAAAAACTCGTTCAAGTAAGTTTCTGTTAGTCATCGCGATTGAGATAGAAAATCTCAAAAGAAATGTTGGGCGATAGTTTTGGAAATCATAATATCTTTTGCATATAAAAATAGTTAATGTCTTGGATATAAAACATCATCGTTAATAAAAATTAAACAAAAAAAAAGATTTAAAAAATATTGAAATTTATTGTGTAGTTGAGGTTTTAGTGTTGCTTCCACCAGAAAATACATTACCATACTGGTGAAGCAAATCTAAAAGAGACAAAATATTCGATGAATAAAAATTATCAAGTTATAAGGTATACTAACTGTGCAACGTTTCTGCTTCTGGTCCTGTCAGATATCTTTCAGGTACTTCAGACGATTTCTCTGGTTCAGGATGTCTTATCTTAAAACATTCGATATCACTAACAGAACATTCATCCGGCGGTTTAGGACCTATAAAAAACAATTCATTGATGGACATTTCGAAATGATATTGTCCATTTAACTTACTTGATAATTGAGCTAAATCATATCGTCCAATACCTTTGAATATTGTGTCTAATACGTTTGGGTCTCTATTGAAAGCATTTCGTTTATCTAACTCATCAAAAATTTGTTTTAATGTTGCTCGTTTTGATATATTTTTTAATGACGTTATCCATGTAATAAATGCATCTTTATGACGTGGACTATTTTCTAACAATTTGCATATATGATCAACATTTATACCATTTCTATCATAAAAGGCTAAAAGATAATATATAAATATTGTTTATATTTAAATCATGGTGTCTTTTTCTAACTAGTACAGATGTACGTACATACACAATCAGTCATTATGTGATTATCTGAAATAAAAGACACTCTTAAGACATATTCGACTGAAAATGCCACGAAATAGAAAAAGACAAATAAGACGAGAAAAAAATGAGACATAGAACATATTAAAAAACAAACTACAAACATCGCTAAAATATAAAACACGACGATATAATTTTTATATATATTTTAGTTCAGAAGTAACGTCAGAAAATCCTTTGAATGATGAATATCTATCTGACATACCAGTCGAATACAAATGGTAGATTTAAATAAATATCTAACTAAAATTTTGATCACTAGACAATAATCACGAAGTAGCGAATCGAATTGACATTTAACATTGTGGACAGATGATGAAGGAGAAACAACCGATAGAAATCCTAGTTCTAAAAAATCATCGTAAAGATAAAAGGCTTTCTTCATTAATTCGAAATAATCATAAAAATATTCCGTTTCCTTGACAAATACTGTAGAATCTTTTGATAGTAGAAGAATTAATAAATTTATTTGTTGAATGTATTGTGGGTTTTACGTTGTTGAAATGGATTTGCATGCTACGGTTTCATAATTACCTACATACCTTTTGTTATTTTAGATAGTTTGATACTAATCTCGTAAAAACAGTCAAAAGTGGATTTCATTGATTTTCATGGAATCATTGATTTTGAAGAGAGCACTCTGAGTTATCTGTCGATGCAAAAATCAACAGATTTTGTATTGAAAACTTTTTAGGTATATCCTGATGTTCTAAAAATTTCCCACAGAATCTTCTTGAAAAAACCTGTTTTGAAGGTAGTTTTATTATGAAAAAGTCTCTTTTGAATGGCAAAAATTCGAACTCCTTGTTACTTTTGTTCTCAGGTTATTTAAAACTAATCGGATATTTAATTTTTCTTATCAGATCATAATTCAGACTATTTAAAACAACAAAAGTAGTATAATTAACTATGAGAGTTTATGTTATAAACTCCTTTGGACGTGAAAATTTAATTTTTAATCCTTTATTTTTACTTTGTCTCAACTGTAGGATGGTCTGCCACTCCGGAGAAAGGTAGAATCCGTACATGGTTCTAGGTACAGATAGCATTCGAATTCGAGTTCTGATGCTGCAAGTATGGATTATTGATCGACTTCTTAGGCCAGGATATATCGCAAAAAATACAAATTTCTATAGACGGCATTTTTAGGGTTTTTACTCGCCGTCACATTTTGATCAAAAAATTTTGGGAAACTTTTCTACGTTGCCTATATCTGCACCAAGCCAGACATCGATTGAACAGTGTAGGTTACGCTTTTCGCGCAATATCTATCTTCTAAGTTGTATTCAGTTACTACCGTAGTGTGCGGTACTGGTCCATGTTCACAAAGCATAATTAATCTAAGTATTCAACATACTCCTTCGCTCATTATTCTTCAATCGTTTTGCATACTCATGACATTATATTTTCTGTGACATGTTAAATATGTACAATCATATTTTAAAGTTAGAAGTGCTTAGTATGCGTGTATAGGGGCCTTAAGCAATCGGACAAACAGAACTCCCTTTCAAGTATACCCTACTGATCAAAGCTACTGTGAATAATGAGTAACGATATCGATGACTATGTCAAAAGCTTGTGAAAATAACACTTGTCATCAACTTACCACCAATAACGGTAGCCGCAAGACAGGATATTCTTCCTTCTTCATGTCTTCTTTCAATGGGTCAAATTTTTCGAATAAATAATAGAAGCGTTAATAGCAGTTCTAAATTTCAGATTTTAGGAGGAAAACTCCAAATTTAATTGGGTATTTCTAAAAGATGCGAACACCCACGAACATCTCCAAATTAAAATCTGAGTTAGCCAATCGACAGAGCTCGTCCAGTTGAGTATAGCAAGGCCTAACGAGCACCCAAAAACGTATCATTTCGCTTTTTAAGCATACATTTTCAATGAACACCCACGAACACCCAACAGAAAGGGTAAGAGCACCCAAATAAGTGTGCCAAATTCATCTCCCGGTTGTTCTGAGCCTATTGGTACCATTTTCAACCCGAACAAAATATTTTTAAGTATTTTTGAAAAAATTCACCTTTTCAGATGAGCCGATTTTCTTCATCATTTTTGCAAAGAAGAGGAGGACGATTAAATCATTTATTTACCACACTCGATCAATTATTTTATTATCACGATTGAATATAAATTTAATTAGTTTATTCAAGCTTCATCTCTTATTATTTAAAACTGTATAGTAGAAATATGTACTGATTTATTATGTATTCGAATAGTTGAGAAAGAAAAAGGAATATACTTCATACAATCATATTTACTATTTGTACGATTTTGCCTTGAATGTAGAGTTTTTTATGATTCTAACGAGTATTACTAGATTCAGAAATCCATGTAGAGTATTTTAGCATAGTTTACAAACCCTCATTCCCTTTAGTACACGCTTTATTCTTCTTAGATCTGAAACAGTCTACAATTGGGAAGATCAATTGCAATTAAAAATTGAACAAAGAACTTTTAAATAATTCCTAAATAGTACTTTTGTAGAGAAATTCACAGGCTTTCGTATGATATATAATATGTCTAGATGTCTTTACTGTGAAGTCCAAAAAAGACGTTTAATTGTAATTATGTCATATCTGAAAGGGTGAATTTTTCAAAAATACTTAAAAATATTTTGTTCGGGTTGAAAATGGTACCAGTAGGCTCAGAACAACCGGGAGATGAATTTGGCACACTTATTTGGGTGCTCTTACCCTTTCTGTTGGGTGTTCATTGAAAATGTATGCTTAAAAAGCGAAATGATAAAAACGTTTTTGGGTGCTCGTTAGGCCTTGCTGTACTCAATTCGACGAGCGCTATCGAATGGCTAACTCAGATTTTTATTTGGAGGTGTTCGTGGGTGTTCGCATCTTTTAGAAATACCCAGTTTAATAAGAGTAAAAACTTTCGTTTTTCTTTTGTTTCGACGTTTTGCAAATTTTATTTTGCATCATCGGGAAATCACTTTACATTTTTCTAATTTATAACCAACAAATTAGATAAAAGAAGTGAAAGAATTTCTTGTATATTTTATTTATATTGAGATTCTTCTCTATCACACATGAGTCATATGAGCATTTCTTGTGTATTCTATTTTACGTTAGTATTTCTTTTACTTCATTTATCTAACGTGTTGGTTGCAAATTAGAGAAATGTAAAGTGATTTCCTAATAATGCAAAATAAAATTTGCGAAACGACGAAATAAAAGAAAAATGAAAATTGTTGATAATAGAAGTTTTTCCTCCTAAAATATGAAATTTAGAGCTGCTGTTAAACTTCTATTATTCTTCCTTCTATTTTTTTTTAAATTTTAACGCTTAAACTGCTGAAATCGATGTTGTAGTGCTTCCTGCCTCTTGAATTTAACCTGAACTATCATCTTCGAATATAAAACTAAACATTTGATGAATTTTTGTTGAATATCAGCGTGCCACGAAATAAATATCGCAAGATGATTCCACAATAGTAAAAGTTTTCAAATTCTAAAATATTAATTCAAACACCAACAAATTCAACATTTAACCCATTCAACAAGTTAGTAGAAAATTGTATAAAAAATAAATTTCTTCTACAATCGACGCTGAAAAAAACTTTCTCTCAGCCGAACAACAACAAATTTCGGGCATTAAAAGGTGCATTAGACAGAAAATCACTCTAAAATGTGTTCTAAAAGTTACTCACAGCTAAGAAATTTCTTCAATTATTCTACGTTTTAATTTGTTCAGATTTCTCATTTTACGGTTTTATAAACGTTTGTTTTTACATGTTTCCCCACAAAAGCAGTTTCTATAACGTTACATCGGGTGACCTTGGAGCCCATGAAATCCATCCTACCAATCCAATGATTACGAAAGCTTTCGTTTAGCCATTCTTCGATTCTTTTATCCGATTATACAGAAGAAACAGCTGTGTAAGAAGATGATTTTCCAACCAGACGGACTGCTGCTGCACTTCTCAAAAGCAATCCGAGCAGGGTTAAACGAAAGCTTTGATAATCATTGAATTGGTAGCATGGATCGATTACATGGACTTCAAGATCACAGATATAACATTCAAAGTTAGAATTTCTTTTTTGTGGAGACCTGTTAAAACAAATGTTTATAAAACTAAACTAACTCTAATGAGATTTTATTCGGTTGACAAATGGTAGTAGTCTGCAAATTTCTTATCGGTGAGTGTCTTTTGAGGCATCCGGTAGTATTTCTAATCTATGAAGCTTATCGAAATCAAACGTAGTTTAACTTACAATGTAAAAGATTTTATTTTTTTTCTTTGACACAATAAAACTGTATAAAAAAAAAATCTGATCCAATTTTATATCTATACTATAAAAATCATGTGTAAAATATGATAATAAACTATTATTATGTATATATTAAACCAATATAATATATATAAAATAATAATATTTAAAAAATACAATAGTTCTAGTTTTCATTCTAACGTAACGTTACTTCTTTATGAACGGAGTATACAGATGACATGACGACCAACGTTGAATGAACGCCAAAAGAAGAAAAAAATTTGCATTATATATCAAAAATAGAACAGTGGCCATAGAAAAATAGTATTTCTGAACAAAATAAAACGTGAACAAAAAGTACACAGTTAAAAATAAATGAATATGATATATAGACACCGGTAACAAAAAAACATACACCCATCACTGGTATTCTTTTTTAAATTAAGCTATCATCAAATGAAATTAAATTCGGAATATCGTGAACAATATTACTTTCAAGAGGAGGTACTGAAATTGGTAAATCACTCCATTTTTTCGTCAGTATAATTTGTTCCTCACCATTTTCTATAACATTAATTTTGATTGCTTCACAGCGTAATGCACACATTTCACCAAGATCAGGACGATCAAGTAAATTTTGCAAACCACCCAACTCTACTCGACATTCTTTATTACCGCATAACGCTTTTCCTAAACAAAAATAAATACAAAGTAAATGAATCACAATTGTTTTACAATCGTTTTTTTTTTTTTGTTTTACCATTTATTTTGATTTCTTTTTTTATCAATGGTTGTTCTCTTTGACTAAATTCAATTTTTTCCAAAAATAATGGATTATAAACTAAATACATTGTACCACGTGTTCGTAACCACGCTAATTCTCCTAGTATATGACCGCAAAAACGACATTGAATTGTACCATCTAGAGATGACGATTTTTGCATTTGTAATCGAGTTAAACTTTTATTTAATGTGTCTAGCCAACTTCCTACAAGTTGCTCCTGTAAAAGTAAATAAATGTATACTATGTTAGACAAAAATCAAGGCGAGTTAACGAACTTGCTGTACTAAAATTTTTCCTTTAAATTCTTCAAATTCCATCTTTTTCCATTTTTCTAATGCATCCATCATTTCTAATTCTCGTGCACGATTTCCTTTTTCTTTCTCATGATTAGGAGATTCTAAAGTGTTAAATATTATGTATCTATTATTGAATAAATTGAACAAAGTACCTTTTGTAGTTATCAAATAATAAGAACTATCTTTTGCTCTTGCACGTCCTCGTGCTTGTACTGTACCAATTTCATCAGAAACAAATTCATAACGTATAACGTATGAACACTGTGCAACATCCAGTCCCTCTTGTACAACATCTATGAAAAATAACGATCAATTATTAGTAAGATGATTAATCGAAGAGTTAAATATTTTACCTGTCGATACCATCACATTGCATTTTCCTACGAAGAAAAAATAAATTAATATTTTAAAAGTTTAACTGTTACTACAATACCATCACGAAAATTTTTAAGTGTTAAATCTTGTTCATTCGACGTTTTTGTATAATCGCTACTACTCTGGCCCACAAGCCAATCTGGACGAATAATATTCTGATAAATAAAGAAATTATGTACATTTCTATTCAGAATTGAAAATTTACTTCAGTACGTACTTCTATTTGTGGATGTCCTTTGAGGTAATCACTTATTTTTTTTGCATAAAACGTTCGTTGAACCAGAATTAAACCTAGAAGAACCAAATGTATGGCTTTTTTTTCTTTTTTTTTTTGTATATCAATTATCACGACTGATTCATAGTTGACTTATCGAAATCAATTCTTTCATTCTCAAGGGACGTATATTACCTCGGCTATCTGGATTCGTTGCATGTTTTACTAACAAATTAATAACTACATCTAATTTTGGATTTGTCAAAATTTTTGCTGATCTTGCTAAGCTCTTCAATTTTTCATCAAACATACGTTTACATCGATTGTATATATCGGTATCTAGTTGTATTGGATCTTCTTTCTTCTTATAAAAAATATCAAAGTGTTCATTTAGATCACTTAAAACTAAATTCGATGGTAAATCGTATAAGGCTTGTAAACGTCTCGATAAAGCAATTACATAAGTTAACATAATTACAGATGGAAAGTCTTGTAGTTTTTGTGCTGTCTGTTGCATCAAAACGATATTTTGTTCATAACCATTTGCACCAACATCTTTATCAGGATATAATTTTGATGGATTATGATGATTAAATATACTGCATATCAAATTTTTCATATCTCTACTTAACTTTTCATCAATTATACCACTATCAACAGCGAATATCTCATCATCAGTTGGATAACTAATTCGTTCTTTTAATTCTTGTTCATTAGATGGTTTTGTTACAGCACATATTGTTAGACAATTTAGTGTTGCACACAAAACAACAAGATTGTGTATCACCGGTAGATTACTAGATCCACGAAGACCGATCGATGCTGTCAAACCGAGAATTATGGGTGGTCGTTCAATACGTGGAAATAATGAAAAATTTTGCGAACATAATAAATATTGCATAATCTGACAATAAGGATGATTTTTTACACTGTTGTGACCTAGAATATTCATAGTTAATGTAAATTGTATAAATGATGCCTAGTAAAAAAATGAAAAACTGAGTAAGAAATAATGATTTTGAAAAACAAAAATCTTGAATAAGAGAACTTTTTATTAGCACTTTTTCAAGAAAACTGTATAATTTAGTTCATGTATTATGAATAAACTTACGAGAGTTTAGTAGTATTTACTCGTTAGAGTAAAACGGATGTATTTATTTAATTCGTCTTTGAAACAGAACCGTGTTTTTCTTAATTTCAGAATTAGATTTTTGTTGAAACGTGTGTGCGTAAATGTGTGTGACTGAACAGCGTTTTTTCTGCGGTCACCACAACGACCAACTGTAATTCAATCATTTTTTTTATAATTATTTCTCTTTGTAAAACTTTTTATTTTCGGATACTATTGGAGAAAACGTATGAAGAATAAGTATACGAAAAATTTTAAGGAATTTCTAGCCGCCACCAATCATCTGGCATCTCTAATAATAGTAAAACGCTCGTTTAATAAATAATTTGCTTACATTCATCGAATATCATCATATCCACATCATTTAACGAAATAGCCTTGTCTTTCAAACAATTGACTAACTTCTGTGGTGTACAGACGATGACGTCATAATTTGCTGGAACATATTTTTTCACTTCGCTATCCTCATCACACACTACTATACGCAAATTTTGAACGGTTCGCAATGCATCAGCTTGTTGTCTAAGAATCGATCGACGTGGAACGAAAAAAAATGATAAAAATTTTCCAGGATTTGTTTTCATTTTTTTAATAAAGTAATATTTTAATAATATTGCTGATACGTAAGTTTTGCCAGCTCCCGTACGAAGACAAATTAATGTATTTTGGGCTTTAATAGCGCTTTGAATTAATTCAATTTGATAATTATATGGACGTATTTTAATATTTATTTGTTGTAAAAATTCGTCAGTCCATGTATCTGATTCAAACATTTGTAAATCAATCTCATCATAATTTAATGGTATCTCGTTCGCATCTGAATATCGTGAAACATCAACTGAATGTTGTTGTTGTTGTTGATCTTCTTCCACAGGTAAAACAGCATCATCTGAAGAAAGAGCAGCTTTTATTCGATTGATAAAGACTATCTCAATGTTTTATCTGGACAAAATGAATGTAAAAAATGAGACTTGATAAAAAATTTGTCCTCATACGTCTTGTTCTTGTTAGTAAATGAACAGAAAAAGCTTACGGTACATTTTAACAATTATTCACATGGGAAAAATAATTACCGGTCTGATGAAGTGTGTCTTTGTCTTGATCTGCTAGTAGTTCATAAAACAGACGTGCGTTTAATTGTGGTTGTATTACATGTGGTTGTAAAGAAGCCGTTTCAAGAGTTTGAATTGGTGCTGCTGATAAAGCTAATTATTGGAAAGAGATCAAGAAAATAGATTATTAAGACTTTTTATTTGAACTCTATAAATTACCTCCAATTTTTTTATTTATATCATACACTAAATCTTCTCTATATATACATTCGAGCACTTCGATCAACCGAGTAAGATTATCAGGTCCTAACTTGTTCCGTTCGATTAGAGCTTCAAAAATTTTTATTAACGGGCTTTTGAGTAAATTTTTTGGAACGTCGTCAGCAATCGCAAAACAAAAGTTATCCTTATCCTCATCCGTCAGTTTATCTTGAATTTCAAGCAATAATTTACGAAACTCCTTCGTTGTAAACATCTTTAGTGTTTGTTATTGACTGTATGCACCAAAGATGTAACTAAAACACAATCAAATATCAACAAGTCAACGTTCTTTGAATGGTTTAAATAAACTTACATATATTTACAATTGTCCCATATTCAATGAAAATGTAATAATTATTCTATAAACGTATTTTATCTATGAAAAATAAAAATATGGCTAACATTCATAAAGGTAAAAATCGTTCATTTCGAAGTTATTGTCATTAGTGTCTCTTCGAAAACTTATTCCATAAATAAATGACTGATAGTAGGCAGAACGTTAAAATGACTTAACAGATAGAATTTTTGATATTCGTGTTCCTTGCTGCAGCTTTGCCTGCTTCACCATTTGTCTGTATAGTGGCATTAGAATATGGTTCTTGTTACAAAAAATCTGTCACTCTCTTATACCATATGTCCGTTACAATCAACTTGTTGTGCAATCGTCGCTCTAATGACGATTATTAGCATAATCTAAATGCTAAGCGTGATAAAAATGGATTTTCTTATTATAAACGAATGTCGCTTGTAAATTTTGATTGGTTATCGATGGTAGTTAATAACCTGCGGCACCCTTTTACAATATTTATTTATTTTCTTCTCTGTAAATGACAATAGGTAAACGCCTTGGATACACCGAGTGAACAACTTTCAGCATTGATATCAGCCCTCGATAAACATCATCTTTCTTTTGTCAATCAATTTATTATTGAAAACAACGACAACGCATGTTTTTTTGTCCTCTTTCAGCTTAAAAACGTTATTCTTCTCCTTATGTTGTTTTAATACAGTTACATGGTTCATCTGTTAGTTAACTGATACAAGAATAATAATTGTTTTTAACACATTTTGTTTATGTATAGCCATATATGTTTTAAATGACGGTTAGTCTAAATGTGATTAATTATTTATTAACTGCTATTAAAAAAAGTTACGGTTATACGTCAAAGCCGTTAGTCATGATTAACTTTAATGCATAATTATTTCTAATCACGCTTAAAGATGTAGTGTAATCATAGTGTACCGAGATGGGGAAAAATAAATCGTAAGTTTTGTTTTTGATATCCAGTCAAGAGAGCCCTTTGAAACGGCGTTTCAAAGAGCAGATATTTTTGAACACTACTATATATAAGAAGAACTAGTACAGAAGATTGATCAAATTTTAGAAAAAAATTCTTTTCTATCCTCTTAAAGTGTTGTGTTTCTGGCTCATCAAAAACGAT